GTCGAAGCGCTCAATGCTGCTCGTGATTCCGGCACGAAAGTTACGCTTACCAATCCGACGGAATTTTCGGTAAGAAGGTCCGAATTTCGAGTATCTATCCAGATTGTCAGTAAGAGATGCAGATGTTTTCAAATATGCTGATGTTTCGAATGCCGATGTTGAGCGATCTTTCTCCATGCACAAGAATCTTCTCTGGGATCGTCGCCATAGATTAACGCCCATAAATCTGAGAAGGCATCTTTCCATTCAATTCAACTGCGATATCCTCTTCGATGAATAAAGTGACGAGTCGGGTTTCTTCCATTATCTAACGCTCCTGATTCCCTCCTGGTCATCAAACTTCAAGCGTCCGGTTTTTTGTCCGGTTCAGGCCTCGATGTCCGTCCGAAAAATGTCCGGTTTTTCCCGGATAAATGTCCGGGTAAATGGGAACTCTACTTATCAGTCATCACTCCCATCAATATTTTTTTCTCCCCAGGCATGGCGACACTCAAGGTGAAAGTGAAATGGGGTAAAGAATCCTACGATGTTGATCTGGACCTCAACGAAGCTCCTGAAGTCTTCAAAGCTCAACTTTTCGCGCTAACCGGCGTTACGCCCGACCGGCAAAAGGTTATTCGAACTAGGGGTCATTTTCGTCATAACGCTTTATGTGACGAGTGTGCGAGACCCGAATGACCGAAATAATCCATCGAATCGATAATGTTCATCTGATGTTTCTTGAAACATTCTTGTGCGGTCGAATCTGAGTGCGGTTTCCTCCCAATCATGGTTGCGTCGAATATTCATCGTCATTATTCGAATATTGCAGGTGATGTGCAAGGGAGCGATATTGAAAGAAACATGGGACAGCATGAGGGTAAAGGATGGCGCCACGATTCTCATGATGGGCTCGAAAGGGGAGATACCACAAGCTCCAGCTGAGAAGCCAACGTTCTTGGAAGACATGGATGCATCCCAGCTCGCCACAGCGCTGAAATTGCCATGTGGTCTATACAATCTAGGAAATACTTGCTATCTGAACGCAGTCGTCCAGTGTTTGCGGACAGTTCCGGAGCTGGTCAAGTATCTGGCGACCTACCAGACCCGGAGTAATGATCCTCAAATCACACCGCTCTCGAACAAACAGCAAATCACCTGCAGTCTGAGAGACCTCTTCTGGAACATGGAAGAACACGCCGTCATCCAACCCCTCTTCCTCGTCGATTTCTGGCGGAGGACCTTCCCCCAATTTGCCGAAAAAGGCGAGAACGGCGTTACGATGCAACAGGATGCGAACGAAGCGTGGACGGAACTCGTTCGAGTGTTGGACAGTGTTTTGTGGCAGAACTTGCCCAAAGTCGGCGTGGATCCCTCAGTGACGGTTGATGAAACAGCTTGCCGGAAACGTGAAGGTTTTATGAAGATGTTGTTCGGTGGAGAACTGGAAGTTACCATGAAGTGCTCTGAAAGCGAGTCAGAGTGTGAAACTCGGACGACGGAAGAATTCTTCCAGTTATCTTGCTTCATTAGCACCGAGGTCAGGTATCTACTCGCCGGTTTGAAGCTCCGCATGCAGGAAAACATAACGAAGATGAGTCCCGTAAGTCGCTCGCGAGGGGAATGAGAGGCATTGGTCCTTCTTCAATCATTCAGAGAACTGACAAATAATCTAAAGAGAAAACAGGACGATTCTCATTCAGCTTACATCGATCCAGTCCTCATGGAGCTTCCCTCATTTCACAGACTCTCGGTCGGGATGCTGTTTACCAGAAAACTAGTAAACTTTCGCGGCTCCCGGGATATTTGACCGTATCGATAGTGAGATTTTTCTACAAGGAGAAGGAGGCCGTCAATGCGAAAATTCTGAAAGACGTCAAGTTCCCGATGATGCTCGATGTATTCGAACTCTGTAGCCAAGATCTTCAGCAGAGCTTGATACCCCAGCGTGACAAGTTCAAAGTTTGGGAGGACGAGCAGGTTCGTACGATTCCTGTCGAAGCTAGTTCGAGCATTCCCACGGGTCTGGAACTCGCTGAGCTCGCCCCATCCTTGGGATCCACCTGCCTAGCCAACGGACGATAACGGAACTTGATTTTCACAGGTTGAGAAGAGAGCCCGGAGCGATGAGAAAAAAAGGACGTTGCAGAAGCCCGGCCCGACATTCCATTCGCATTTCCCAATGATCCCGGTAAAGGCCTGTGGATGACTAGGATTCCTGTAATTTCGAATATATCTCGGGTGGATCACCGAGGCTTGCAGCGCTCTCCATGATATTTTTTGTATTCAAGGCTCGAACAACAGTGGATTTTACCAACTGCAAGCCATTCTTACCCACAAGGGCCGTTCGAGCTCCTCCGGACATTACGTAGGCTGGATTCGGCGCGGCAAGGAATGGTTCAAATGCGACGATGAGACCGTGACGCCCATTCACGAAGACGATGTGAGTTCAGCTTACCCCGGCAGGAGCATGAGTCGAAAATTTAGGATTCCGCGCCCTCGTGTCACTCACGTCTGTTCCTCAATTTTGCAGATTATGAAACTTTCCGGGGGTGGTGATTGGCACGTGGCATACGTTTTGTTGTACGGTCCTCGACTTCTTGGAGTGTCGTGAATCGATCTCGTAGCAGATGTATGAGAGAATATGTGGTGATTGGAGACGGAAAGTGATGCGAGCCGTCATGAAATAAATGATATCGATCGTCGCGGTCGCCTGAACGAGGCTTGTCTTCAATCAACGATCCTCGGGCATCTCTGTCCGGTACAGTTCCCACACATAACTGCAATCGGGAGACGAGATAATGGAGACCTTCACCAGGAGCGTAGGCATCTTGATCGGCGACTGTTTTCTCAAACCACTCCCGAGCCGGAGCATCGATGTGGAGGGCAAAGGACTCCAGCCCGGGGAATTGCCTCCGGTGATCCAAAGAACGTTCGACTCCATAGCTGTGTGTACCGTGAAACCACTCGATTATTCTCAGACCCGAACTGGGACTTCTGGGGCTCAGGGTTGTCGGGACATGGAAGCTTGAGATGATGATATCGAGGGAGTTGATCATCTCTTTCTGGTCTCCGCAATCGCCTAGCACACAATGGACCTAATCCAAAGTTCCAGGCAGCGTTGGGGCGGAAGCTCCGACTACTCTCCGGCGTTCTATCTCCGGCGCCGACCCGTTGCCGTGATCGTCGCATCTAAGTCGCGAGTTCCGCATGGAGCTTCCACTCAGAACTGCCCTATTGAGGGGGTTTCTCAAATTCATTGAATTTTTTCTTTCGGAGAAAGTGTCTTCTTCGATCGACTGAGCACTCTCTGTACTTCCGACGCGCTCCATTATGCGAGAGTAATGCGAATCTAGCAAAAGGCAGATTCGATCGCAAGGTGGGAAGTGTCTGCGATTTGCTGCATACGAGTGGTGATCACGCAAGAAGAGTACCCGTTTTCATTGTGAAATTTGGGCAGCCCGCCTCTGGAATTGACTCCTCCGTTGCTGTCCCTTCGGATTCTCAGGGCTGATAAGCGCTAGATTTCCTCTGAATATTTAAGCTCTCAATCGCCTGTCTCGTTGGCGATTTTCCAGATATCGAGCTTCGGAATTCACTCCTATACTTCGCCATTGTCTTAAGTGAATGCAACTGTTCCTCGCCGGCTACCGTGCCTTTTCCAGAACTGCTGACGCTCTACTCCTTAAACGTCGGCGTCGTATCTGCGTTGCTCGAAGCGCTGGTGTTCAATTCAGTTGTCCGATCGATGGCACTGGTGATGGCGCTCCATTCCCCCGACATTGGTTCTCACACATATATTACTTGACGATGCTGATGTAGTAGCAACATGGGCCCGATGGGAGAGATAGAAAATTTTGTGGAGGGGTTCAAAAGAAGTGATTCTCTGATATCGTCCCGGGATATCCTCTCGATGTTCCGGCGAATTTTCTGCGGTCAAATCCCACCATCCAAAGCGTTCCTCTATTCAATCCTCACGACTTCAGCGGTAAGTAGGGAGCTCTTCTCTCACCGGAGGCGGATATTCGCTTCGCTCAGGCGAGATCGAAGACGTTTCCCCCGATCAGCAGGTGATAGCATACTGATGACGGCTCAGCAGCGACGGGATGAAAAATATTTCTCTTTGCGCCACCGTCCGTGGTTCAAGGCTCGATTTGTCGAACCTGGTAGGGAAAAGGTTAATGATTCTGGCCGTTCTCGTTATTCGGGGTCATCTGCGTCCGCTTATACCGATCCATGAGGGACTTCCCAAGCGATGCATTGAGCTGAGGGAAGATTTTCTATCGGCACTTTTGTCCCGCCGCGCCGTGTCCTCGAGGATATGCCAGTTCTACAGCTTCGGAGGCAGGACTCGCGCTTGGGAGAGGCGGAACCGACCTATCCTGAACGCATGAGCTCGCTCATAAACGTCGACATCGGAGCACAGAGCCAGAGAAACAGAGCAGCTTTTCGAATTCTAGTCCCTCGGCGCTTCTCCGAAATGCGCTGCTTCAGAATATCGAGTCTCTATATCACGATTGCTTCCCAGCGATGTCGGCTGCGACTCGTGACAGTCTTGCGAACGACGCATGTCTCCTTCACTTTCGAGCCCTAGAGTTGTCACCGATCTAATCGGAAGAATGCGACCGCGAAGCACGTGCCAGGAAAAAACAGTTCTTCCGCTTCTGGAACGCGTAGATCTCCGTAGTGATTCAAATGGTTGGACGGCGATGATTTTTCGGTTTTGCGATCGCATTCGTCAACTCGAAATTCATGTGGACGGAGCATAACGGAGCAAGCTGTCAGACACGCGCAGGGGCGATTCCTACAATTGTCCATGATCGTGGGCGACGTTCTTGGGAGACACGGAGCGATGTGGAGTGGAACCGTATGTTCCATTACATTCTCCCTGGGTGAGTTCAAAGATGCAAGGACTAGAATAAGATGGATCTGCGAATATAACGAGCACACCTAGCGAATCGGCTCCTCTCGATCGGGAGAGGCCCCGAAGACAATGACGAAATACAATTTTTCTCGATCGACGGAACTGATCCACGGAAGATCAGTTTGGTCTCAGTTCCGACTTCTGAAGCGAGGCCGAGACCTTCACCAAGGAGGGGATAAAAGTATGACGGTCCACGTGCCTCCGAAACTGCGGAGATTCACAGGAACGCTCTGAACCGGCGTAAAGGAACAGGTGGCGCCAGCACGAACGATCTTCCGAGACTCTAAATTGGAAACCGCATTGCGAGCTGGCACCAGTGGAACATCTTCATCGGCTCCATGCTCGCCGCCAGCGATCGATGTGAAGAATGCTATTGTGATATTTCATCAGAGCCGAGACTTCACAGAACGTGGGAAGAGCCATCGGTTTGAGTGAGTGAACCTAAGCGTACCCGTGAGCTAAACCGTCGGTCAGACCTCAACTTGATTAAGAGTTGATTGCGTACGTCTCGGGAAGCCACAGGGCGTTAATATGTGAACCTTCCCTTGGGACTTCCGGGCACACTTCGAAGGGTTTCCAGAAGACAAACACGAGGAACGGTGCACGAGAGTTCCGTCACCAAATTGACATATGCGACGTGCGATCATCGTGGGGGAAACCGATTTTATACTCTCCAAACCTCATTAGTTAAAACAACACCCGGCCGCCGGCTTCACTCCCGATTGTCTGCGCAAGCCTGCTCGTGAGCGTTCGCGGAGTGTTCGATAACTCTGATTCTACTGTTTTGGATACACTCGGATGTGAAAGCCTCAAGTTGACGCTGAATGCTCTGCGGAGACACCCAAGGAGTCAGACAAATTCGTTCGATTCTAGAGTCGACCGAGTTCATTTCCCCGAGAGTCCGGGGGAGTTGAGCCGGAGGCTCGAAGTCGTGAACCCCAGTCCCCCCAAAATAAATGAAGATTTCGAGCAAACATGTCACCGACGTAGCTCCGATCTGGAGTCGGAATACTTCTAGCGAGCCCTGTCCATGTCACAAGCGACGTTTGCACCATCATGGCGGCTCTGATGAACTTGATGTCGAACCACGGTTTCAGAGATATGGTGACCGATTACCCTACTTTCTCGTCGGGCCTAGTGCACGAAACCCCCAGTATTCCGGCAACCGAATAACTCGAATGACCGCACATATCAAGCGGAAACTGTGCCCCGTAAAGAGTTGAAGAAAAAATCCAAGTGCAGAGAGTCCTCCGTTTCTGCGAAATATTTTTCCCGATATCTTTATTGGATCTCGGAGCCCATAGAGAAAAGATTGGCAATCATTTTCGTTTCCATTTGCAGAGATGCCTATTCCGAGGAACGCTCCATGGTGGGTTCCGCATATCTTAACATCGAATACGTGGATCGGGGTTCGAGCCTGCATGAATAGAGGGGCGAGAGGCAGTCCAGGAACCCTAATGGCTCTCGGGATCTACACCGGAGTCTCCACAACTTGATCGAGCCTGATTTCAGACACTGTTCCTGCGCATCCTTCCATTGCTTCCTTCTCCTCCCAGGCTTGCTAAAAATAGTCCTCCTTGAAATTCAGTTTCGAACGCGCTGTGGCAAGCAGTGCGTGGTACCTCGATGCCTCCGCTTACCTTGAGCACCTGCTGTCAGTAGCCGGCATCGTAGGGAACTTCCTGATGCTTTTGACCATCCACTGCGGAAATCTGAAGGATTCACCATACGTTTACCTGAAGTGTATCGCACTGGCCAATCTGATATTTCTGTTGAGCCGTTTGAGCCTAGCGGTAGTCCTCTGCGAAACTTGCGTCTTCAGCCTACAAACGGTTTATTACTTCCAACTCTACTACTGGTGGGTACCCCAGCGATTAGATATCCTTCCGCGACAAAGCAAAGAGACGAATCGGAAGAGATCCTGAACGCTCTGATAAATAATGTGATTGCAGGTACGGCTATCAGGTTATTGTCAATCTAATGCGAACATGGCTCGTACTTTTGACGCTCTTCATGACGATGGAAAGGTAAGATCGGTGATACATCCGGAGGAAGGCTCATGACCTCCCCTCAACACCCCCTACTGAGTTCTTTGTCCCACTAGATTCGTTTACGTTCGATGGCCAATGAGAACGCGGAGCTTATGCACTCGAAGTCGAGCGAGAGGAATATGCCTCGTCGTTTTCCTCATCTCATGTCTCTCCTCATTAATGATCCCCATACCGATGAAAGTCGAGATGCCCGATCTGGAGTACCTCAAACCAGGGACGATCAAAAGCTTCGAGTTCCACTGTACTACTGGGCACAACGAGGTCTGTAGATCCCGCGCACCTTACGATACGGGGATGCCAAAAGTGTACATTGACCTCCGACCAGTGCTATTATGATTTCGTTTCGCAGACTCGCTCCAGCAGCCGAATTCTGTGCCGCTCGGGAGTGCTCTCAAATACTGACCGATATAATGCGACGGATTCGGAATGTCTTTCCGAGTCCTTCCAATCGGAGTTTGCCCCTGAACTCGCGCGAGGGAATCGTTCGCTTCATCTTTCGGACTGTCGCCGTCAAGTCTGCGAATTGCCGCGTATCCTCACCCACGAAACTTTTGCTCTATCCCAGGCCACCTTGAATCGAACAATCCTTAGGTTCACATCGAGCGACGTCAATGTTACCCTCGTGGCGAGTATCGGGTTTGGGAGTAATGACGTCCCTGAATAGCGTAAGATATTCTTCGTAACCCACGAGTCCTTTTTCAGAACCAGGACGTATCATCGGTCGACAGCGAAGGCTCAAGTCGTCGAGACCGTTTCTCTGGTCGGGCTCTCCATGTAAATGACACTTGTGAGTAAGACAACCCCCATAGGGAGGAAGTCTGCGAGAAGTAACGGCAATGTTCAGTGTCTCTGTCGCTCTAGGTAGGTACGTTGGAATAGACCGAAACCAGAATGAGAGCGCGACTCGCTCCGGCAGATTAATATCTGAGCGCTCGATTAACAATGTTCCAGGTGAGCTTGTCCTGGCTCCCGGCAACGTGAAGTCGGTCTTCCCGGAAATCTACGCTCTAAAGTACAAGGAATACGTGCGAATCGTCAAATGTGTAGCAGCCTCGGTCCGCCCGGGCTGGCCGGGTCTTTTCTTGGACATTCACCTGACCTTCAGATTGGGCTTGCGAGTTCTCGCCACCATTGTTCTAGCAGTGTTCAGTGTTCTGATCGTGATAGAGGTGGGACTGCATTGCGGATTCCGATTTTCCAATGATTTCCAGCATGAGGTTTCAGCGCGAATGGGCCTCTCAATATTTTTCGTACGTTTGCGGTCCCGCCGAGCCTGATCACGTCGGGGATAATCACATCGAGCGCTTCTGAACTCCAGGTACACCGGGCTAACCGCGAAGCGCGGAAGAAGGTCTTGTCGGAAGGCCAAGAGAAAACGGCGTTGAAACGGCGGAGCGAAGAGAATCGATTGACCATGTCCCTCCTGATGTTGCCAGTCATCTACATCGTATGCGATCTTCTATTTTTCGGGAGCTTGCCACAAGTTTTGCGTTGGATCCACGGGGGAATCTGTGAGTGCGAGCTTAGGGCTTCGTCTGCTCTAGGCATTCACCGGCAATGAGGCACAATTCGAGTCTATGGGAAGGCCGTAGACTGGAGGAAGTCAATCATTCGACCTATTTTCAGCTCCGTCTGGCGTCACTCAGAGAACCTACAAAATAATTGCATCGGTCTCCTACATGATCAAACACTCGGGCTACTTCTATCTTCTGGCATTCATCAATCGGAAGTTCAAACAAGAGTTCCTCCAGCGAGTACTGTACGGCAAATTTCGGATGGACGAGATCGTCGGGAAAATGGGAAAGATATTTTCGGTTGCTTCGCGATCAACTCGAGCAACAGATCCTCCGGTTAGGACGATGCAACTTTCGATATGTGTGTTGGGGAGTTCCGCATGCAAAAGACCCGATCAATCTTCACGCCAAACTTCAAGCTCTAGAGTTCTAGATGTGCCAAGACAACCGTCGTATCTCCTCACGTCGAGACATTTCTCTCTATTCTTGACAGGAGAGTAGCCAACCAAGGTCGAGCACGGGACAGAAGTCCGGCGCAATATTCCTAAGCCAAGAGAGAGACAAGGCGTCAAGCGCTCCTCCGCCGTGAACGAGAGTGGAGGAAAGGAGTTCCCCAGCCCCGGTGGATTACCACGCTGCATATAACTCTGGAACGAACACACACATAAATAATGAATTTCACACATTGAATATGTATCTCGTCAGTTCTCCGAACAGGGCGGCGCTCTTGCATAAAACTAAGGACCCCCAGGTCGATTGACCGACATTCCTCCACCGTCGAGTCGAGTTCTAGAGATTCAGTGAGCTCCGAGCTCCCACAGTGAGCAGTCCCCCTTGACCGAATCGTCCGGGCTACATAATAACTTCCGAGCGAACCGTCGATTTAGCGTCATGCGTATGCCAGTATAACTCTCTCCCAGATAGAGACTCGATCGACGCGATCGATCTTTCGCAAGTCGACCTTCCAAAGTCCTTTGAGCTCTGCGTCCGGAACGCTATATGTGCTCCGTCTCACTCAGAGGAACGTTGTTAACCTGAAAAAATAACTAGGTCCGTCTCCTCTCGCGTTGTGGTCTCCGTTCGGAAAGCGACTGCCAGGTCCTCCGCCCTTCCCCTCACGAAGACACTGTATAGATCGCTGCCGATTCAACCCGAAAAACCGGGAAGGGGCCAAACGACTACGGATGAGACGCTGAATAGAGATGCGCAGTCCCTCAGTTGTACAACTCGAACTTCGAGCTGTCGATCCCTAGGTGCCTACCGACGGACTCCCGGACAACCATGAATCGGTGCAACAAGCCTCGATCGAGACTCGAGACGTCTGACCTCGGCGGAGACGCCACGTCTGTTAGAGCAAAGAATCGGCAAACTACGGATTGAAGTCGGCCTGGGACTCCATTCCCTTGAACCTCATTGCTCAAGCTTGTTCATTGGCGAACATTTTGGGTTCCGAATGCCTGCCTGCCAAGCGATCGAGGTCCAGCGATCGCCAGTGAAGTCGCTCCTCAATACGGAGCCGAAAGCTGGACGAAAGCTCTTTCACGGCTGGAAATGTGCACGAAACTTTATTCAATGCTTAACGAACGGTACATATTGCTTTAGACATCGACAGGTCCCCGTCTCACGGCAGTGTTCTCATCCGTTCCTCTCTCACAAAACGCGTCGATGCATCCACATACGTAGCCGAGTTTCCCCAGGCGTATTTCGGCGAAGAAATTCGGGGGAACGCTCGGGTACGTTGCGCAAATTATTCTTTGGCACTTGAGAATTATCGAATCCAGCAATGCGGATCGGGCAGTACCTTCTTACATGACCATAGATTGGACGCTCTCGATGGCGAAAGATATTGCTCTCATTTGCTCGGCGTGATATCGAGGGAACGGTACAGCTTGTCTTTCAGGATGCTGCTCCGGCGTCTGACCTTGGCACCGACTTCAGCAATGATCTCCATGGATCTTCGTCGCTTCTTCGCCGAACCTTTCGATTGGGGACAATCAACAGCTCCGTGGACGACGAACGAAGTTTGGACCGCGATTTCTTTACATGGGGTTGTCTTCTGTTGAGTGGTCGGGTTCGGACTCCTCAGTGGACTGATCCTTGGAGGTGGCCGAGGCGGCGCCGCGACTGCTGCAATCGAATTCGGTCTTTGCTGAATATCCAGGATCGCTCCCGCCTAAATTGATCTAAAAAAGCATGCAGTCGAGAGACTTCTAGTGGTATGCGCTCGTTCTGATAGGGATCGATTGGCTCAGTTTTGAGCCGATTTCGTTTACCTTCACTCGTTGTGACTTTCTGCGGAGTTTCACCGGAGGCGGGATCTCTCCGGGATTCCTTGTTTGGCAACAGCTGCGGGGGCGTCCCGTTGTTGAGAACTCTGAGCGTCGGACGCATTCTACACGCGAATCCGTAGGATTTATCGACCTCGTCCTTCTTCAGTTTCTTACTCTCGACGACGAGCCAGTTTTTCGGACAATTCCCGCCCTGATTGAGGATGCGAGGGAGGGACGACGGAGAAGCCGCCTCGCGGGGGGAGTTACGGCTCCGCTTATCATATCGGCCAGGGAGGTCACTTCTTTCTCCGCGTGTATGTTCTTCACAGTGAGTCCCGCCGGCGTCTTAGTATTATCTACGCTGTCTGAGAACAAGAGGCTTTTCTTCGCTCTGCACTCTCCAGAGGTCGAGGAGAAACGCGGTCTCAAACGAAGGATTCCAGAATTCGTCGGCAGGCTGTTTCGTCTCCTGCGATCAGCGCATTCATCCAAAAAACGAACATGGAGAGAATCGTTCAGCGGTTTGGATCGCAGTGTCATATTGCCAGTATAGCCGAGCTTTGGCAAATCCTCTCTGCTACCCGTTCGACAATTTTCAATTTTTGCGTATATCGGATCTTCTGATTCATCCGAGTTGGCGCTAGTCGAAGACTGAGGTCGCGTCGAAGGGCGTGAATTGGGTAAAATCGCCATCTTAGATTTTCGTGGCAATGGCACTGGCCTCGCCGGTGGGCTATCGTATTGGAATTCTTCACCAGATGTTCCAGGTCGGACCTCCGTTACTGCACTCGGGTTGAAAATCACCGAATCCCTGGGACAGTCCTTCTTCGTCGGCGGTCTATAATCTTCCCGCAGGAGATGGAGAGACATCGTTGGCCTGTTCGGCTCGCTGAGCCTCCGTTTCGCGGGAGCTTTCTGAGGTGTGTGAACGATTGGATTCCGCGACAGTATTGCTGGATCTACGCGGAAAATCTTCTTCTCTGGGGTTTGCTGCGGTGTTGATGACGTGCTCTGAGACGGTATACATTGCTGTTTGGGTCTACCGACCGTTGGAATATCTTTGAGGAGATCTAAAGGGGCAGTGACAGATGACTTCGAGGGCAGAACAGATTTGATTTCCGTCAGAGGGCTGACAGCTCGACTCAGGTTCGACACAAGAACGCGCCGTCGTAAGTCATACCGGAGCGACGATCGTCTCAGGGAAACGCGACCTGTAGAAAATCGGGCCAATGATGAGGAAAATACCGAAGACGCAAAAGTCTGACTCTCCGTCTGCATTAGAGTATCATTCCTCCCAAAAAAACATGGGGCGGGCATCTGGAGCGTATTCTGGAGAAGTTTTCCTTTCCACTGCCTCCGCGAGTGCTACGCGATCATCGATAGACCGCGCGGAGCCGACAACACGTTCGTCCGTTCCGTCGAGCGACCGTTGAGACGGGCTGATCGGTTTACGTCCAAAGGCTTCTGTATACGCGGAGTGTTCAGGGAACACCTCGGTGTGTTCCGAATATTCGGCTATGAGTTGGGAGCCAACGAGACGTGGTGGAGGAAAATTTTCGATTTCCTCAGAAGGAAATGTTAAGATTGATGAATGATAGATTCCACCTGCTAGGAATCCGGAGGAAGTCCAGATTATGATGGGATCAGAATCTTTTTCAGAATTGACGGTTCTAGGGGAAAGTTTCCACTCTAGGGAAACGTACTCTGTTCCTTGACTTTCGAATTGAACAATAATTCGCCGTAGCTCTGCGAGCCCCGACAACACACCTGGGGGCTTGCTCAGGTGCATGGTTTCACAGTATCACCTTTTGAAGGTGTATGAATCGGAGTGGAAACTCACTGATTGGCCTCGCCGTGGCAGCTGATGACATCCTGGAAGAGCTGATGTGGAGATGTCACAGCATTCCAACAGGTTCTCCGGAAACCTTCGTCAAACTTGACTCACGAGAACGAGAAACTCCGAGAACTCCATTCACTAGTGCCGACGTTGTTTGGACTCCCCGCTACCGCGACAAATATTTGCCGGATTCGACACATCCCCGTGGAATCGCGCGTGTGTGGGATCGGAGTGTTGTCGATGGCAGGCGAAACGACAGCGGTGTGGTTCGAGGAGCGATAGAACGATGAGCGGAAAAATGCCGATGTGACGCTAATTTGTGCTACGCTGATATTAAGTCGAGAATTTTATTGTGTCGTATCTCGGTAGCGCCCGGTCGGCCTCATCCAGTCGATAGTCGAGAGAGTGTTTTCTCCTCGGAGAGAAAATGGACGTTGTCGAAATTCTGGATTACAAGGTATCTATTCCGCTGCTTTCCTCTCATTAGCCGCGGAAGCTCGGTTCCGCTTCCGTATCCATCGTGAGGGTATGCGCTGCCTTATGATGCATCGGGCAAGACCTGGAGCGGGCTCGACGCGGATGGAGAAAATGATCAATCCTAGAGAAACTCTCTGCGTCAGAACAACAACGGCCTTCTGAAAACTAAACGTATACTCCAGCCGGTCACAGAACCCCGCCGCGAAGAGAACAGCAAATCTGAACGACCGAGAAAGCGCTTGAAAGCCGCGAACGGTGGTCCTTCGACGTCGCGACAACGTGATGTCGAAGAAGAAGACGATGACGGAAATGCCGAGGACGGCATCCCGGATCTTCCGGACGCTGAGCTCACTCCCGAGCTCACGGAACAGACTTTGAAGAAAATGATACTCCGCTTCGAGCGTCGGAGTCTGAAGAACCGTGAGCTTCGCATCAAATTCCCCGAACAGCCGGTGAAGTAGGTCGATTGAGCTCGGTCTTACTCACCTGGAGATTCATGGAGTGACTCGATCGAGTCTCGAATCAGGAACTGAATCGAATTCCAGGTTCATGGACGCTGAGATCGAGCTCAACGAGTCGATTCAGGAAATGCACCTGGTGGCAACTCATCCCGAAGTCTACCCGACTCTCGTGGAGCTGAACACGGTGGAATCGATTCTTGGTCTCCTGGGACACGAGAATTCCGATATAGCCAATGCGGCGGTGGATCTCTTGCAAGAAATGACCGACGTTGACACCCTGCACGAAAGCGAGGTGCGCAGAGCTTCCGTCATGGTCATGGAGTAGAAGGACATGAGTCTTCCTGAGCGGTGGGCTCGCGGGGTCTAAATTCCGCGCTGTCTTTTTCCAGGAGGGAGCCCTGGCGTTGATTGACTGTCTCATAGAGAAACGGATTGTTTCTCAACTAGTGGAAAATATGCAGCGCCTCAACGAGCACAACAAAGAAGAGTCTGAAGGTGTGCACAATTCGCTGGCTGTGGTAGAACATATCATCGAGTTCCGACCGGAATACGCTGTGAATGCCGCTCAAGAAGGCTTGATGGCGTACCTTCTGAAACGACTACGAGCGAAACTGCCTTTCGACACAAACAAACTATACGCGTCGGAAATCCTCGCGATTCTCCTGCAGGATTGCGAGCCCAATCGGAAAATGCTCGGGGAGATCGACGGAATCGACATACTTCTTCAACAGCTCTCGGTGATTTGAGAATTGTGGCAGCTCCTAATCGTGGATACATCTCGCTTTCTCGACACGGGCTCGCGAGCCGCAGCGAGAACCATTCAACTCCGGGAACTCATTGAACCATTTTTTTTCATTCCAACCAGCACTTCCGCCGTCATGATCCGGGGAACTCGGAGGAGTTCGAGATGATGGAGAATCTTTTCGATATTCTCTGTTCTGCCCTCCTACTGCCGGCCAACAGGGATAGATTTTTGAAGGTGAGCTCTTGAAGGGCCGATGGAAGCTCGACCATCGATCTATCGAGAAGCTCTCTAAAATCATCTATTCTCCCCTTTCAGAGTGAAGGTCTCCAACTGATGAATCTTCTACTGAAAGAGAAACGTCAGTCCCGTTACGGTGCTCTGAAAACGCTCGAATATGCTCTCCAGGGTCCTGAGGGCGTGGAGAATTGCAACAAATTCGTGGACATACTCGGATTGAGGATTCTGTTCCCGATGTTCATGTATACACCAAAAAAGAAGAAGAACAAGAGTTATACACCCGAGGAACACGAGGGTGCGTATACGGATCAACTTATTCGCCCAATCCGCTCAGTCGGGCGCGGAGTCAGCGATTGATGTCTCGCTCCTCGCAATTATTCGATAGCCGTCATTATAGTATTAACCTGAGAGAGGTTCTTCCCAACAGAACACGCCTGCTCCATCATCTGCTCTTTGCTGAAAAACTGCCGACCTCCTCAGCTAGAACGATTGCTGAACAAATTCGTCGAATGCGAACACGAGAAGGTCGACAGAATCATGGAGCTCCATTTCAAGTATTTCGATAAAGTGCAACAGGCAGACCGCGAAATCGAAATCGAAAGGATCGATGTAAGTGGATCATATCCGAGTTCATTTCTGACGGCTCGTCTCCGCTGCAGGCATTGCGAACTCACGGCTCTATTTTCAGTCGGAAGACTACAATGAAGATGAAATTTACATCGAACGCCTAGATAGAGGCTTGTTCGCTCTCCAAATGGTCGATTATATAATCGTCGATATCTGCGCAACTGGTCCGGAATCGATCAAGAAGAAGGTTCTACAAGTGCTGAACATGCGCGGCGGCAGTGTCACGCAAATCCGGCAGATAATGCGCGGTGAGTTTTCTTGTCCATGGGGTTCCAGAAGAGGCGCGTTCCCTCATTAGACCTACGGTGGAATTACGATATTTTGTCCTTTCCCTCGCAGAATACGCCGGAAACCTAGGCTTCGACAACGAGGAAACACGCAAGGCCAACCACGACCGCATCATGCAACTCGTTGATCGATTCTAAGGAGTAGCATGCCAGGACGAGCGACACTGACGACTCCGTGTAAAAAGCAAAAAAAATCTCTGAGTGAATGAATCATCTCTGAGGCTCTCTTTCTTGAAGCGGGGTAGGGGGGGGGGCGACGTTCTTAATCTTAGCTCTCGGTGTTTCGGCGGCTCGAGTGGCAGAAGCATCGTGTTCGCTAGGCTAACGGAGGAATCTCTTCGAAAGAATAGCGGTAGGTGATCATGTCGCCGAAGCGGAATGAATCATCGCAGGTGAAGCCACTGATGGCGAAAAAAGAAGATTGACTCTGATTGAGATGTCTCACGTCGAAACAGATTAGGGGGTTCAGCCACGGGATGCTCCCGGAAGATGCGGTGGATTTCCCCCAGAGCCCTCCTTTCCCTTCAGACCTACCCTGTTTCCTTCTACTACCCTATGCCCACGGCTCAACCCCCAGGGAGACCAGCCTGCGCGACGTGATAGGCAATCAGCGGTGAAACATAGGCGGCCGCAGAACCACAGAGGGAGTCGAATTTTATTCGGCTCAATATCCGGTGGCAAGGCTCCTCAAGCCCCATCCGCGCCCCCTTTTCCCGAATCCGCTCAGAGGAAAAACAACAGACTCTCATCAAGGCGCCTCTGTTGATCGCCTGCGCTCACACGCCAGCTCTGCCAGCGAAGACACACATCACATCACTTGATGGATGTCTTTTCTCTAAAGCTCGGTTCAGTTCCTCTCGACTGAGAACAGAGCCAGAGCTCGAGTCCGCTGCTCGCCGGTACTTGACGGCTGAGATGGCTTGGAAAGCATCAAAGCACTGAATTCGAGCGCTGATGACCGGGCCCTCCGACGATTGAAATATCCGTATATATTCACGCATGAAATCCAGAAGTCAAACAAATAAGGACCGGTCCAATTCGCACAGGCCTTTTTTCGCGATACCTTCGGTGTTCTGTCAAGGAGCGCGCCGCGCCGACTGCAAAAGGCTCAGATGAGGTGCTGTATCTACCACCAGGGTTGCCGGTTACCAGTTCAGCCATCAGAGGTTTTCGCTTGGTGGAATTTCGTTCTGTAGAGGTGCCTTGGCGGGCTACTCATGAGAGAAAATGAAGGAAGACCGACCGTACCTGAGCGTGTGGAATTACATGAAGCAAAACAATGACAGGTGGGAGTGGAGATATCGCTGATCAGATTTGCCCCTTATTTGATTCGCAATTCACAAGTCGATGCTACTCCGACAAGCCGAACTTTAGGTCGGTTTCCGGATTTATCTGCGGATGAGAGGAGGAACAGAATCGGTGTAATCAAGTTCAGGAGCTTGTTCGCGACACGCATTTTCATTTCGATCACCAGTCGCCAGATGGAGTGTCAACCAGGCCCATCGCGAGCGCCCGCACGCATTATTATGGTGACTCCGGACAATCTCCAACCTATGTATACACCCCAGGGTGCCTGTGCTCAGCCTCCAGCGTATCGCGCAGTCCACCTCCATCCGGCTCAAACTCAATCGACTGATCCCCACAATCCTATCCATCATCAGATCATCACTCAGAACTCGGAGGTGGAAACGAGGCATCATCTCCGTGTTGTCGAAGCAGAGGAAGAAGAAGCTGAAGGTTGACATCTCATTCGGAGTATTCGATGCCCGACTTGATTTTCTCTCTACTCACTAGCTCACATTCTAGCTCACTGACACATATTCGCCACAGAAAGTCAACCCGATGAGGAATCCGGTCGCGACAAGAACAGTCGTAAAGAGCCTCATCGCCTCCTAACTCTGGAGCAGAAGCGTGAGGTCATCAGGATGTTCGAGGAGGACAAAGTCAAGGCGAGAGATCTGATGGAACTTTTCAACATCGGCAAGACGCAGGTCTATGCAATCTTGAAGCAAAGGAACACCATCAAGGAGGAATTCGCACAAGCTAAGACCGAACACGACAAGCAATCGAAGAGGAAAACACGGCAGACCGGCAATGAAGGGATCGACGAGATCGTACATCGGTGAGGACTGACCTCCCTGAGGTCCGGGAAAGCTGTTCGCTCATCGCAGTGCTCATTTGGCTTCCGGGAAAAATCGAAACTGAAGGCGCTCGATGAGAGGGTATCTGCTGCTAGGACCCGACTGATTCCGATCTACGTCAACGGTCGCATTTGCAGGTGGTACGTCGATGCTCGTTCGAAAAACATGTTCGTCACGGGTACACAGCTCAAGGAGCACGCAAAGGTCGTGGCTGACGCTCTTGGTCGTCGGGCGTTCAAAGCCTCTAACGGATGGCTTGAATGTTTCCGTAGAAGACACGGTATCGTCATTCCGAAAAGTAGAAACGCCAAAGACAACGCGGAGCTCACCGTGCCAGATGGGGATATTCTTTCGATGCAACGACTATGGGCGCAACAGGTTTGTGTTTAATCTCTGTGGATCTTCATTCTCGCGAAAATTGACAAGGGAGACCTCGAGAGGAGAAACGATCGGAGAGGAATCGAGAGGAGACTGCCAGTTTTGAAGGCGCTACACGACTGAATGACACGGCGAAGCAATTCTCCTGTTTCAGCTCCAGTCCCACATTCGCGATTATTCAGAAGCAAACATCTACTGCCTCGATGTGACCACCATCTACTACCAGGCTACTCCTCGTTGCATAAAGACATCCCTAGGCGATGCTCTCTATCCTCCGGGACCGAAATTCTCAGTCTTATTGTGCGCGTCTGCGACGGGCGAAAAAGAGTTCCCTTTGGTAGTTGGGAATGCGCAACTTCTCTCCCAAGTGGTGACCAACATGAGGATTGTATTCCGGTGAGTCCGTGGGATGATCGAAGGACTTCGAATGGAATTATCCACGAGAATTGTCCGCGAATAATTTTCATCTCCGACCCGAAGTGTTTCATGAGGCTAACTCCGAGGTTCGTCCGCAGTCGGAGCCATACGAGTGGCTGTGAAATCCCCCCGGAGTGCTTGGAGGAGTACATTCGGAACTTGAGTGATAGAATGAGGCGTGAGAACCGTTGCATAGTCCTCTTCTTGCTCCTGCCTCAACAAGCAGTATACATAATGGGGAAGCATTTCGCTAACGTGAAGCTTGTGCATTGGCAGCAAAGTACAGCCGTGTCGCAGGTTAGACCAAGATTTCTCGAATTTCATAGAACCCCGTGAAATAGAGCGGACTCATTCAGCAGACCCGCATTGGCGGAGCTGGAGGAACTAAAAAATCATCGATGAATTTCCAGCCGATGCGACAAGGCGTATTCCATCGATTCAAACTCAGCTATCGGATCCTCGCGATGAGAAACATGATCGCCAATGGAGGTCCCCAAGCTATATCGCTCATCGACGCTCTCATGTACATCTCGCGAGTGTGGCACGAAAACATACAAGATGCCACGATACGGAAAGCGTTCTGGAAAGCTGGATTCCCTGTGTATCTGCAGGTATGTGTGAGCGAGAGATTTCAGAGAGTCGTCCCGAGCCATCAGTGCATGGATAACGTGATAAACAGCGCCTAGATCGTCGAGGACTGAAAGCATGAGTCTCCCCCAGAATTCCTTCGACAATCCTTCCCGTGAAACAGAGGTCGCCGAAGAGATGCGGGAGTTGCAAAGATTAGTTGGAGTGTATTCGGGCGAGAATTGCGCAGACGTCGCTAAGGACTACATCGATCTGGAAAAAGCAGTCGAGGAAGGCTACAGCATCGATATGCAACAGCAAACTTATGGATACCCGACCAACAGCGGCATTACGGACGACTACGGTGAGCAAACCCTGAGGGGTGAATCTAGCACGGACCCTCACACCACCCCTGATTCTTTCCCGAGTCCGCGTACGGGAATTCACCTCCTGTTCCCATTCAGGTAATCTATTCGGCATCACGAATGGCGAGGAGGTGTTGATGCAGGCCCCTGCCATAAACTCGTACCAGGGAGCGCTGATGGAACTTCGGAGATTGCAGCAGTTCGCTCTGAAATTCAACGATTTCGAACTGCAGGAGATTCTCTTCAACGCTCGTTGCGCTGCCGAAGATCGCAGCGCGGCGCGGGTGGTCGCCGAAAAATATCTCACCCTCCTCTAGGAAGAACGGCATTCGTCGTAGTGCCTTTGGCGCTGCGAGGCTGCTATCGCCCAAAACATTCGACGATGAGATCGAGAAGAACTTATTTTGACTACAGCCGAGCAGTTCCAAAAAAAACACGAGACAGGGTTCATTATGACATCTAAAATAATTATTATTGATGGATGAACGTCGACTTGAACGCACAATAAATAGAAACATATCAGCGAGCTCCATGACGGGCTCCGAAAACATTTGATTCTTATTAATTCGATACAGATATTGTAGATATTTATCCTGCCTCAACGATCAGGAGGAAGACATTTCACATCGTGCTGCTTGAGGCGAGCTTCACTAATGGTCTCGAATGTACATCGTGGGCAGCGCAGAATGAGCTCTGCAGCCTTTTCCGGGTGCAATTTCTTCACGTGCTGTTTGTACGTCGATGCTTGGATGGACGCGTAAGAACACCATCTGCATTTGTATGGCTTCTCGCCCGTATGCTGCGCCAAATGCTTCCGATGCACGTTGTGATCCGCCGTAAGGAAACCGCATTGCTCACAACAGAACATGGCACGTACACCAATGTGAAACCTGTGAACAAGGTTCATGAATAATCATCATTATTAATATTTTCATTATCATTATCGAATGCCCCCATGGGGTCTCTCCTCATGGGCAATCAGAGAGATCCTTCTCATTTCACACGGAGCCGTCTACGGTCTACCCCCAGCCCCGAGTTTCGACTCACTTTATGTGTGCTCTGAGCTGAGATACGACTGTCGTTTTAAAATCACAGTGAGGACAGGATTTCTCCGGAATTTGGCGTTGATGCACTTTCCTGAGATGAGATCCTAGATTCTTTTTGAGGATTTCTCGACCACATTGCGGACAGCAAGCCATGCGAGACTTGCGGTACTCTTCGGTCTGCGTCGTCTCCGAATGAGAGTAGTACCTTGAAGAAGTAGATTCTGATAATTGTCGGAGTGGAGCTTCGAGAAATCCCATAGATGAGCCGCACGTAGTATGCCATGCAGAATACAAATCACTCTGAGGGACTCACTGGTGATTTCTCAGCTGTTTTATCGTACGGAATTTCGACTGGCACTCATCACAGTCGAACTGCTTCTCTTCGCTGTGCACGAGCTTGTGGACCTTCTCCAGATTCGAAAGACTATATGTTCTGGAAGAGAACGAATGTGATCTTCTACCCGTGTGGGGAATTTCTCCCCCCACCACGAAGGGATATGATCTGTCCTTCATGGGGTCGGACGCCGCTAGATTTGGAGCTATTCTCAACCCCTCGATTTCATCGACGAACTCACTTGAAATCACAACGATTGCAAGATTGCAATTCAATGTCCATGTGATGCGCGTTCCAGAGATGATTTGCTAGCGTTGGCCACAGCTTCGATCCCTGTTTGCAATTCGGAAGGGGGCACCGAAAGCGTTCCTCTTCCGAAGGATGCGCCAAGTGACATCGTAGATGATAACGGTGAGTGTCTTCAGCCCGGAACCTATGACCACAGCCTCGGAACTGACATCTGGGAGGGAAAGTCTCACGCTGGTAAATCTGGGAGCGCTCTTCGCCGAAATTCGGGGCTCGTCTAGAGACTTCGGACGTAATCATTTCGGAATGTGAGACTTACACAAGGTGGCCTTGATCTCGTTTGAGTTTTCTTTTCCAAGCAATCTTTTGAGCTGAGCTCTCATCCGGTCTCACTCTCGATCGTCGTTTGGGTTCCACAAGGACTTCTTTGAACAGCTTGCCGTCTTTCAGAACCGCGGTATTCAAGCCCGAGTGTTTCTTGCCGATATGTTTACCACAAGCTTCCAACGTGGCATAATGATTATGACAAGAGCCGCAAGCATAGCGGGCTTTGCGGTTCAGTTTCGGTCGGCTGTGTGACTCTATCGCATGACGGAGAGCCTGTAAAAGGACAGATTCGGGCATCGTGAGCTCAGATTGTTACTCTCGATCTGATGATCGATGATTCTCTCGGTCGGAGTCGACAACATGGCGCCGCCGAACTTGCAGCTGGACAATAATGAATTATTCCGCTACTCACCTTGAGCTTATCACTGCTCCTGAAGCCGCACGCCTTGCATCGGTAGACTTTGATAATTTCTAGAAGTTTGGGAATGTCTCTCTTTCTTGTTTCCTGGCGTGGGACTCCTTGTGCGTCGCTCTCCTGAACACCCTCTTCATACCGATAGCCATAACCGTCACCGGGCTGAACATCAAAATTATTCTCCAGGAGTGTGTTCGTCAACGCCGAAATGGGATTGAATAAACTATCTCGGTGCTCCGTCACGACTTCTGGCGCTATGTATTCGAGCGCGTCGTGCAGCATCTGCGTAGCACTCGTTGCCGCTTGCATGCTCGAGCTTGTCGCATCCTGAGAGCAGTACGAATTACTGTTTTGATAGGTGTTGTATTGACACTCTTGATAAGCGTCGAAGGTGCTCCGAGAAGTGCCGCATTGGTAGGTGATGTCTTGGACTTGCGTCTGATGCGGATAGCTTGTCTGCGAGTACGTTTGCTGAGTGGGAGGGATCGTGGAGCAACCTCGAACAGTGTCGCACAGGTTGCTCATTTCTTGCTGGCTATAACTCGCGGTGTTCACTGAAGGAACCTGCTTCTCAACGAAGTTGCCGAGCCCGCCTCCGATATCTTGAAGGTTCGGCTGTTGCTGACGTTGTTGCTGCTGCTGCTGCTGGCGTTGTTGGGGCGCGAAAACGTTTCTTGAGTTCGAGTATGCGATGCTTGACGAGGCGAGATTGGAAATCGGAGCAACGGATACTGGGACCTGGGTCTGAGGCGTCGGTGGTATCGACGCCCCGAGATCTTGAATGGTGGGGGTGACTTGCTGCAGATCGGAGGGAATGAAGGATGTCGATTGTCGTCCCGATGGTGTGTACGCATCTCGATAGCAATCTCCCGAACCCTGATAATTGTTGTACGGTGGAGGATCCGCGTAATACTGCGGCTGATAGGTGAGCGGGCCCGATTCGTTCGACTGGGACTGCAGCCCAACATTGTTGCTGACGCTGACGGCGTTATTATTGCTCGAAGCGTTCGTCAACGTTGTGAATTGCGAAGCGGCGGCGGTGAAACCATAGGCGGTCGAGTTCTCATACTGTCCAGATGCCCCGTAGATATCCGGTGCCCGTTCCTCGAACGGGATATCGTTGGCGCGGCCTCGATCGGCATAATAGGTAGACAGATCAGCTTTGAGTTCAGAGACCGGCGGAAGGCTCGATACTAGCTCACTGTGAACGAAGGAAAAAATGTTCACATCTGGAACTCACAGCCAAATATGAGGACGTTATCAAGCGACGCTGACGGATCATTTGCTCTCCGAGACGGAGCAGCAGCTCTAAAAGTGGGATTGCGAAAGGCCCGATATCCACGACACGCGACAAATATAGAACAGTCACAGCGTCGATGTTTTCGACTTCCATGAATGTACGGATCCCGAATTCAAGTTTCCGCTTGCCGAGTCGAGTGAGTACTTGGTGGAGAAGAAAGTCATCACATGGCTAGGGCTCCGACGCCCACACGGAATCTTCCAGAGATCCAGATACGACAGCTGAGTGAATATTCGGATCAGCTACTTTGCCTTATAAGAGAGTACTCGGATCGGGGAATGCATCCCGGCCTTTCTGGATCCCAGTTCAGAACTTCAACACACACCGAATTCGAGAATCGGATCTGATCTCGGGCGCTCATATCAAGCCAAGCCCCGAGAGCAGGTGGGCGAAGTTCGTACGAGTTTCGTAAGCCGCGTACCCCTTTCGGGATCATCCCGAAAAAATGACAGATTCCGGGCTTCAGATCCTTCACCCAGTCATGTCTTCTTCCGACCCGATTCTTCCAAGCGAACCCCATACGATCTAATCAGAGGGAAAGTATGTCATCATTCATCATGTATCATCCGAGGGGAGAAACAGTCGAAAGATTACCTGTTGGAGGGATGACTGTACAGGATGAAGTCATCATCCTCTTCATCCGCCATCGATCTTTGAAGGCATTCGAGAACTGCGGCCGTATCCGTCTTCAGCTCGATGTCGGTCGTTGTCCATTCATTGACAACCTCCATTTTTGGTCTGTCCCTCGTTGGTCGACCACCCGTTTCTTCTTCGTATTCAAATTAATTCACGCCGGCCATGTCATCCTGAAGGGTTTGTCTTGTATGACTCAATGAACGACTGATCGATTGATGGATCGATCGACTGTTCCTTGTTGTTCCCCGTGCCATCACATATCTCAGTCTCTCCCGAGAAGAAGAACCCTTACGATGGGAGGTAATTACTCTGAGCCCGGGAAGGCAACTCGTGGCGTCGGCTAATACCCACCGAAGTCATATCGGTGGGTTATGAGCAAAATATACGGTCCGACTTTGTCTCGAAACGATTCCGAGTCGTTGTTTGCTTTTCATTTTCAAAATTTCTTTCCAGGAAGTGGGCGGAGCAGCTGTTCACGCCATATCGTAGGGAAAACTCGGAGTTGTCATCCCCAGTATACTATAGTGAATCAAGACCTCCCTCGCCAAGGTAATTCGTGGACGTTCCATTTGAAGATTCGTACCTCAAACAGCGACTAATCCGGTTCCCGGAGCTCAACTATTCGACAACGATTTCTCGTAGTCCATTCCTGTCATCATTGCAGCCATGTAAGGAGCGGATCATGACATTCTACGACGGAATCACGACAAAATCGGTGGATTCACACACCACACAAACACCAAAAAAGTAAGCGAATTCGAACGCCGCCAGAGCGCGCTGGCTGTCCCGAAAACAAAGCCAGCGCCCTCTGTCGAGCAATGCTGGAGCGCTAGAAGCGCGCTGAGCGAGATGGGAAGAGGAGGCAGAGTGGAACTGACTGTTCGCGCGTGAGCATCTCCCGACCGGCCAATGTCATGCAGTTGAGTTGACGTGCTCCGATCAAACGAGCGTGCTTCATAAGCTGTTCGTGGACGGCGTGTGGATAACTGACAACAGCTTAAAGTGAAAATAAAAATGTGGTGGGCAGAGGTGTCGCTCACGTTGAGTTTGGTGCTCGCAGCTCTCGACGAAAGTTGCTATGCTTTTAATCTAGAACCTCGGTTACCTCTCATATACGAGGATCAAGAAGGCTCGTACTTTGGATACTCCGTCGCCGCGCACATGATCATCAACAACTCGAGTGACAATCGCAACCGAGACCGAAAACCAAGGTAGGCGCGAGTCGAGAGAACATACATAGATAGTCGCGGCTGTGAGATGTCAAGAGGAGTCAGCTGCCGAGGTTTCGCGCCGGAAGAAATTCAAATAATTCCCCTTCAAGCAGGCTATCAAGTGACATGTGGCTACTTTTTTATTAGTCCACTGCCCATTCGAGAATTAATTATTGACATTCGCACCGACCGAGCGAATGCTCAGCTCAACAAAGAACTTTTACAGCGATGTTGTAACTGATAACTCTTGAGTGGCCAGCGTTTCTCTTTTGATTAGTTCCCGGTTGAGCCGGTGGCTAAATAAAGAAAAACCTGCAATTCTCCTTGCTCGCCTATCGTTGTTCCCTCAAGATTTTCCCCGAAGCTCGGACGATCAATGCCGACGTCGAAGTTCATTATCCCCTTCGTCAGCCTCCTCGGATTTCCCGATTATTCGCTAGTCTCGATATCTGTTCCTCGAGCTGACAGAAAAATCCCGCGGAGCGTGGGAGAGATTCATGCGCAGATGACGGGTGAAAATCGGCTCCTGATTGATGGGGGTAGACTTGTAGAAAAACCTGCATAAAACGAAACTCCATCAACCAGATGTAAAGTGTATATTGTATGTAAGTAGATCTCCAGTCGCATGGGCCTTTCTGGCTCATTCTCGAGTGATATGCATTTCCTCGAAATATCGGCCGGCTCTCCGGGACTTCTAGATCTCCGGATGGTCATGTTTTGTTTCGAGAGCAGCGGTCATGTGTTCTCTTCGAGGAGTCGGCTAACTCTTTCATGGGCTGAATAGACTATCGGCTGCAGCCAGCTCATCAAAACTTATGTTAAGAAAAGATTAACATGCCTGAGAAGCTGAGGGAAAGCGAGACGATACGTCTACCAGTATCGGAGCAGCTCGTGCTAGTGCGCGATCTTTTCGTCTACGACAGTCTGGCAGTCATTCTGGCGGTCGAGCTGGCAGACGGGCTAGCAGGCTAGCTGAATGGCTGGCTGGCTGGCAGACAGGCGTTCTTTTTCTTTTTCTTTTTCCAATGTTGTGTTAGCAACTCCTTTGAGAGGAGGAAATCTTCGCAGTCTCTCTGTTGTTCGTTTCGAAGAAGACGGTGGCAACAGCGACAACAACAACGACACCGCACATTTCACGCTAGAAGAGAGCACGCGGACTGCGCTCACTCGGATCATGTTGAATTATAACCGCAAATGTTTGTGGCTCACTTTTCATTGTGGAAGATTTATATCTTAACCAGTCAGTCAGAGAGATGGTCGCTCGCCCGGAATCGCAGACAGCTCGGTAGTCAGCCGGGTGAATAGAGAATTCGAGTTGTCAAGACAGAGCTTGTCGCAAGGAGAGAAAGACCTTCTTTTAGTCTCCACAGGGGCTATCCGATTGATTCGACCTTGGAGTTAGTCTTCGTAAACTCTGCAGGTTCTGAGAAGTGACTTGAAGTTTCATCAAGCTGAACAGAATTATACCGACTCGGCGGAGGACATTCGGAGCAGAAAGGAACGGGTTCTACAGCCAGTTTCTGAATAAGCCTGACGCTCTGAGTAACGTCCCGACCGACGGGTGGGAGTTTCGGCGAAGCGAGTGAAGGAGCTAGCAAGTGTACAGAGCCAGAATCGGCGAACGTCCACGTGGGACGTCCCGACTCAATATCAATGTACGTTGCGCCGGCTAGCTGTATTTGGTCAATAGTTTGTTTCCTTGAGCGTCGGGAGCCAACTTCATCACATCATTGTTGATGGCGGCTGTCCATGGCTCCGTCCGCTCCTGGCGGACCGAATTCTTCAAAAATTCGGCTATCCACGCCGACGGCATTACCCCGACCGGCTGGAGGAAACTCGGAGAGTCTGAAGGAAGAGACAAAAAAAAGCGGTGCTACAAGCAGAGCTGAGAGGTTCGGAGTGCTTTACTCTCTGGCGTTCGAAGGGAGGTTGAATGGAAATTCCATACCGGAGAATAAACTCTTCCGCGATCATCGAGAAGATGATTCGCATCAAGCGCCGAACTCGAATGCGAGAAGCCATGAGTCGGAGCTCTGCGGCTCAAGCCCGTAGTCGTCATTTACTGCCCTGCGCCACGAACTGTGGCGAGACGTTTATTCTGTGGGTCTACGATATTACGTCATCTCGTGGAGCGTTGATGCTGCTGTTGCGGCGGTTCCGCTGGCAACGGGTTGTTTGGAAAGAAGTTGAAGTTGCACTTCACGGGCCGGTGTGCAGAAGATCCATGGCATAGTAGTGCTGCCAACGAGGGAACCGCTGAAAATATTGTTCTCGCCGTCTCGGTATCATAGTCGCACGGACCACGGCGGCGTCGCGCTGCCGCTAGAGACTCACGTCAGCTGAAAACGAGAGATATCTGGAAATCGTAGGACTGCTGGTGTCCACAGCAAATCTCATTCATTTTTCGTGGTCGATCGCCGATGCATCTGCAGTCGTCAAAAAAATTGTATCCCTTCGGCTATCCACGATGAACGCCGAACGCATGGCTGGACCCGCAGCGAGACTGAGGTTGGACGGTTTCAGTGGCTCGTAAAAGCCGTTCAAAAGGCATAAACCACCCGACGGTTTACACAACGGAAGATCGACCTGCCCCACTGGCTGTTTTCGACGTGAAGTCTCTAACAAATTCAGCGTTGGACGAGCTGGGGCGTGGCTGCATTTTCTGCTTCTGTTTCGTTGCCGAGGCTTCAGGGAGTTGTGTCGCTGACTTCATCGATCGCTCGAGCGTATAAGGGACCGAATCAGAGATCTTCATCGGAAATTGACTTTTTGGTACGGAGCATCGCGATTCTGCCTGGATTTCACTTTGTGTTGTTCGCTTTGTCAGTCAGTCGGTCGGCGGCCGCGCGGCTTCGGCCAGTTTGGTAAGGCGGGGGCTCAGAAAACGTCTATATTTACGGTGCTTCTGAATTTCTTCCCCGACGACCGACAGTCGACCGTGATCCCTCGGCATCGGCCTTCGAAATTTGGATTGGCTGGCCGATCGAGAACGGGCGAGACGAACATCGTCGTTTGGGGAGTCAGAAAATGAAGTGCCCGCAAATGAGCGGGGAGGTATGACCCCGGAGGAGCGGAGCAAGATGAGTCTGGAATGATGCATCACCCCATCTGTTGCGGGCGTCAGGGAGCAGCCTTATTATCGAGACCCGAGAACCTATGTCGGGGGACTTCCGGGAAAAATCCTACCAAATCAGAGGAAAGATGCCGCTCACAGCCGTCAGAAGTATCCAGATCACGTGTCTCCGAGCACATATCTCGAGCATCCGTCGCATACGGCGCAAGCCATACTGCCGATGAAATGCCTTGTAATCCGCGATCTTGAATGAACTCCTTTTATAGAGACGAGGAATTGAATTTCCACTGGCCATCTCCGTGGCTGGTGGAGGAGATTCGACGCGATTGGCTCCGATGACATTCTACGTAGTGACGCTCGCTCAAAATGGGATTCCGGTCCAAGAATCAAGGCTGTTATCGAAAGTCGTTCGTCCCAGTCTCGACGACCGGACTAGAACCATAATTAATCGGCCCGATCAACATCGTGCTACGAAGACAATCCGTGCTTTCTGCTGGTTGGTCTCGGGACAGCATCCCAGAGGAGTCGGAAGGTCGAAAAAGGACCAAGTTTTACGAAACGTTGGTCCGATGTTCGCTGGGGTGAATGCTAATCATTCGACCCAGCTCGCTTGATGAGAAGTTTGACTGCTCGGTTCTGTCTCTTGAAAAGCTTTTCCTTGTTGGGAGTTCCCTGAACGAACGCTTCATCACCTCGCCGGCCTTCCTTCGGCCATTCACCCAGAGCTACCGAGAGCCATGCCTCAGATGCTCCGTCTGTGACGGCGACTTCCAGTGGAGGGCTTCCCTGAGGTCCGAATCTTTCCGGATTCCGTCTAGAGTCTCTTTCCGGTGGAAACTAACGCATGCCGTTCGAGGGGATGAATTCGGTGCATGTGGGATGGAGTTACGGGGAGAAGAAGTTACACGTGCGCGCTATCAGGGAGGAACGGATCCCGAGCCCACGTGTTTTGCAGGAGCCAGTCGGGGGAGGAGGCTTCCTTGTGAGCGCCGCGCCGTCCGCTGCTCCGACGGCGCCACGGCTGCCGCCAAGAAGTAGAAGACGTAACCGCTTTCTTTCTTCGTTTTTCTATTTTATTGTCGTTTGATTGTTATATCGCAGGACAGAAGAAAAATGGGAAGCCGCTCGGAGAGGTTGCGAAGATTGAGAACACAGAAGTTCACACTGTGGATTCAGAAATTTCCTCGGAGCTTGTTCGTGCTGATAACGGATGACTGCGACTGACGCTCGGAGACTGTTCGAGTTCGGATCGGCTTCGCTCTGTCGTTCTTCTGCCTCTCACTCAGGGAAGGGAAATGCATGAGAGCCTCGAAAAGACTTGGAACTTTTTCCCCGAGTCGTGACCTAATAGAGGAAAGGCGAATACACGATCTCACAGAAATAGTCCGCGGCTTATCGCTTTCCCGGAACAGGTACGGAGAGTATCAACAGCAAAACGATCTTTCCGCCACATTCACGTCATTGCCAGGCCATTCACTGTGAATTCTGACGATGAACTTATCGCGGCGCGAGAGAGCGCGTCGCAACGGATAATGTTGTCACATGGCTCATCCGTCCACCGATGCAGCTCGCACATTCAGCATGGATCACCAGATGCGCGCAGATTGACCGGTCCGACGGAACCGCGGACGCTCAATCGCGTCACAAGTGGTCACTGACTTTCTGCGAGCAAGCGGAAAACTGTCGATTTCATCATTGGCATCACCGTCAGCTCTATCCTTCATCGTACGCTCGTCGGACCGAGGCAGAGATTATTTTTCTACCGCTTCCTACGAGGTGGTCTTCGATCGTTGATCCTTCAGGGCGGTGTCGGGTTGCCTCGCGAAACCGCGAGGAAACGTTCCCTGATTCGCACCTGAGCATCGCGAAGGCGTTGAAGACCGTGTCAAAGTGAAAGAGTGCCGGAATTCACCCTGATGTCCAACGC